AAGCTGAAGCTCACTCAGTCTGGCAGTTTTCCAGGAACAGAGTGTTGCTAACAACCATGTGAACACTGAAGCATACCCTTCCCCAGACGAGCCCAACATGAGAAGTCAGTCCTGCTTGACATCTTGCAGAGAACCCAGCAGAGCTGTGCCCGGAATCCTAACCCATAGCCACATAAACCGTCAGATAATCAATGTGTGCTGTTTTAAGCCACGGACTGTTTGATAACACTGTTATGCAAGAATACAAAACACAGCTACACACTATATGTTTAGAATGACTAAAGACATAAAAGAGGAAATAAAAAAAATAAGAAAAAATACCAGGAGAAAATATCAGGAAGATTTATAAAACACAACTATAACGTTTAATAATAAAAACGATAACTCCTAAAATGATTTAACTGAATGGGTAAGTTAAATAGCAGCAGAAAATATGTTGAAGAAATGAGGTATGAACTGAAAAGAACAGATCCAAAGAAATTGATCGATTTCAATTTACAACATACAACACAAATATTAAAAAATGGAAAAACTTGGAAGGTTAAGAGAAATGTAGGATATAGTCATTTGCTGCATTAAAAAAAAATGTTTTGTTCAACAATAGATTGCACAACTAATGGGGATCCCCTAGGATCACAATGGAGCTGAAAAATTCCTATTGCCTCGTGACACTGTCACTGTCATAAAGTTGCAGTACACACTTTGTTCATGTGACTGTGGTGATCCTGGTGCAAACAAACTTAATGCATGGCCAGCCATATAAAAGTAGAGCACGTACAATTACGTATAGTGTCTAATAATAATGATCACAAGGACCTATGTTACTGGTTTATGTATTTACTATACTGTACTTTTTATCATTATTTTAGAGTGTACTCTTTCTACTTAAGAAGTTAACTGTTAAATGGCCTCAGGAAGGTCCTTCAGGAGGAATTTCAGAAAAAGATATTGTTATCATGGGAGGTAACAGCTTCCTAGATGTCACTGCCTCTGAAGACCTTCTGGTGAGACAAGACGTGGAGGAAGAAGACAGTGATGATGATCCTGACCTCGTGTAGACTTAGGCTAATGTGTGTGTTTGTGTCTTAGCTTTTTAACAAAAGTTTAAAAAGTAAAAAAAAAAAGAAAAAAATTAATAGAAAAAATTTATAGGCTTAGCACCTGTGGCTCAAGCGGCTAAGGCGCCAGCCACATACACCTGAGCTGGAAGGTTTGAATCCAGCCCGGGCCCGCCAAACAACAATGACAGCTGCAACCAAAAAATGGCCAGGCATTGTGGTGGGCGCCTGTAGTCCCAGCTACTTGGGAGGCTGAGGCAGGAGACTCGCTTGAGCCCAGGAGTTGGAGGTTGCTGTGAGCTGTGATACTACAGCACTCTACCCAGGGGGAGCGCTTGAGGCTCCGTCTCAAAAAAAAGAAAAAATTTATACAATAAAGGTATAAAGAAAAAATATTTGTGTACAGCTATTTGATGGAAAACTGGCAAAACACCATGCAAAAATTATATGTAAAATGGATGAGATGTGGTAAAATTAAAGTGTTCTGAGATTCTTGTTAGAGGAGGAAAAAGATAATGATATTCTTAGACTTTACTATTTCAATACACCTGTTAAAATTATAAGGGTAAAACCAGAAAGAAAATATATAGTGTCAAATCCAGTAGAGGGGCTGGGTGCCCATAGCACAGTGGTTATGGCACCCGCCACATACACCAAGGCTGGCAAGTTTGAACCCAGCCCAGGCCAGCTAAACAAGGATGACAACTGTAACAAAAAATAGTCTGGTATTCACCTGTAACTCAGTGAGTAGGGTGCTGGCCACATACCTTAGGCTGACAGGTTCGAGCCCTGCCCGGGCCTGCTAAACAACAATGACAAGTGCAACCAAAAAATAGCTGGGCATTGTGGTGGGCACCTGTAGTCCCAGCTACTTGGAAGGCTGAGGTAAGAGAATCACTTAAGCCCAAGAGTTTGAGGTTGCTGTGAGCTGTGACACCAGGGCACTCTACCAAGGGAGACATAGTGAGACTCTGTCTCAAACAAAAAAAAAGAAAAAAAAAAGTCGAGGGAAATAAAATATTATCACTAGCTACATTTTACAGAACACAAAACCAGGGCTTATTAAAACTGACAGCAAGTGAGGAGGGAACAGGAAGGGAAGGGTAAGTTCACACCTACCACGTACAATGCACACTATCGGGATGACGGGCACACCTAAAACTTTGACTCAAATTGTACCAAAGGAATTCATGTATCCTTTGAATTTTTACCCCCATAGCATTCTGAAATTTTAAAAGCTAACTTGACAAAGTTTACCCAGCTAGTAACTAGCAGAATGTGACAAATTCATGTCTTTCAACTCTCAAGTTCTGTGATTTTTTTTCTTCTATATCATAAAGTCTCTGATCTAGGTGATACATTAAAATAACAGAGGATTGCCCTGATACGATGTGTTACCCAATACAATAAGGCAAAACTCTCACATGGCTGCGAGAATATTGTTACATTAAATAGTACTTCATGGTAAAAGTGCCGTGAATTTACCTCGTAATTCTCTTATCCCTCATTTCCATTTCATTCTTACCTATCCTCTGCACTCATTAATTCCATATAATTTTTCTCCTACACTCTAATAGTTACTGTTTCTTCTCGCTTTCTCTTTCCCATATTTTTAAATGTTGTGTGTATATATTTGTAAACACGAATAAAATTATACTTATGTATCTAAACAAATATATGCATTGAAATCTCAATGTGTGTGCAATGGAGAGTAGTAGCGTGTAGTTTTTTTGAAAGATTTCAAAAGTTACCAGACTGTGGTACCCAAGTCTCCTTCACTCTTTGCAATCCTCTCTCACTGAAACAAGTATGTAATGTCAAAAAAGCTGTAGAGCTATCTGTGGTAACGATCTAGCCTCCAAACCTTAGCAGTGGCATATGGTCCCCTAGCTAGCTGTTGCTGACGTCAAAGATTTTATCTCTATACTATGGGGGAGATTCCTTTGCTCCTTGCCAAGACCATTTAAATTAATTTCTAACTGTGTAGTATTTTTATCTTGAAGACATGCAATGAAATCTTTAGGGTGTGTTCAAGACAGTTCAGACTCTTGGACTCTTTAATCACATGAAATCTGTTACTGACACTCCCAGCCCCACATTTAGTCTACTGAAACATATTTTTACAATATTTCATGGGATAATAAAACTTCAGAATATGTGTATAGAGTATCATGTAAGTCCCTTAAAATCTACTCTCAGTGTCCTAGCACACAACTTGGCAGATGTATCAAAACAATATAAAATCAAGTTCATCATAACTTTAACAACAGGAGAGCTGATTATATTCTGCCATTGGCATTATCAGTCCAAAGATCTATACTGTCAGTGCACACTTAAATAAAGCCACCTAATATTTCTACTAGTAATAAATAAATGGTATTTCATACTTTGAAATAAATCAATAAGACCATAGTATTTTAGGCCATTTCTCGCATCTGGAGGAACAGAAACCTTGGCTAATTAAAACCTAAACCAACCCAAACAATTGCTTCTCTAACCAAAAAATAAAGCAAAGCAATCGTAGATGTAAAAAAAGCAAATACATCAAAAAATCACACGGATTTGCTCCCCTTTATTTCTCCCTGTTGATTCCTAAAAGCAAACACCATTTTTCTCCTTCTCTAACCCTGCTTTGATTCCTCAAAAGAGAACCCAGAAGAAGGTAAAAAGTTTATAGGCCTTGATAACCCCAAAACAGAATAATCCATCTCTGAATAAGCAAATCTGTCTGCGACCTGTTTTATAACCATGTATTGCTGGTTGAATAATACCACTATTAAAAATTAACAAGTCTACTAAGCTCAAATAGCATTTCCTTTTTGACAAGTACATGGAAATATGGTGATTATTAACAACAACAAAAAAGCTCACTTAATTGAGCAGCTGAAGATTTTTGAAAGAGTACTCTTTGTAGTAGTGAAAACATAATAAAAATAATACATGGTACTTTTAGCAGACAAGGGCAATAGGTTAGGAGAAGGAGGATAAATAGAGAATTACAGGTAAAGATTAACAAGCAGAACAGTCAACTGTGTGGTCTCAGAAAATAGTACTGTTAAATTAGAGATATAATTTCATGATTTCATGCAGACAGATCTGGGTTACGTAGGAACTGAAGTCCTTATTCTCACAGTAAAAAGTACAAAGCTTTGTCAGCTGATTTACAAAGCGTAGTTCTTAATGCCAGAGTCAGGGTGGTAGAAGTAATAACAGACATCCAGCAGCGTGCTCTGATATCCTGAATAAGATTATAAGATAATAAACAAAATGATGAAGCTGGTTTCCTTAGCAGTGTTCAGGAGGAGGTCCTCTGAAATGGGGTTATCCTGGATTATAAAATTATAAAATCACTTAAATCGTCCAACACATATGGATTAGACTCAGACAACTCTCCCGAAAAGACACTCTTTGAGCTTCTGTTATGTGGTGTGTGGCACAGAAGTCCAGGCAACAGCATGGGCCCTGCACCACAGAGAGACAGTCAACATCCTTCTCAGCCCTTTGGACAAGTCAGCAGCCTACTATGCTCACCAGCTGATGTCTGCACGAAGCTCAGAGAACCCTGCTCAATGTCTCTGCTCCCAATCACTTCAACGACTCATTATAAGTCCTCTCCAGGGTTCTCCTTTAAATCACTCACAACCAAACCAAAAAGGTATAAATTAGAAAAAAGGATGAGATTTTGTTCGTTGGAAGAACAAGTAGTTGGCAGCAAAGAGAAAATAAAACAAACCAAATAAAATAGATAAAACTTAGAACCCACAAATCAGATTATAAAACAATATTCTGTTGACATTTAAATAAAGTAATCCCATGGCAACAATTTAATTGCTGCTTTTTTTGCCTGAAGTCCCAGATTTTTCTTGTTTGGGGACTAGACACAATTTTTATTTCTCTGTGTCCTTAGAGCATCACACTGGACCGACATTATTTACTACTTACTTGTGCTTGCTTGCATACTTTAAAGGGCTGAAGTGTTTCCTGGTAGAAAAGCTGATGATAAGCCTGTAGGTCAAACCAAAAGTACACACTGTTCTTCCACAACTGCAGATGGAAAAAGAACATAAATTACTACCACCCAATTATTAAAGCTCTACAAGGCTTTAATTTCAAATACAAATAATTATTTAGCTCCTTGCTGTTACCATAAATCAGGTTCAATGTAAGATGGTCTTAATCTTCTACCACAAACTGGCAATATACAAAATATTTATTGGTATTGTTGCTAGAACATTATATTTTTATATGTCTGCTTCTCACATAATTGGCCATTAAAATAGTAAGTATTCCAGTTAACGGTTAAAGAGTAATGATATATTTCTGGTATGAAACCAAAATTTGAAAGTATTTTGATACATGTTGGCTAATGTATACATCATAGCAGAATCAAACCTTACTCTAATAATTGGGCCAGTCAAATACTTTACATTTGAGCAAAATGAAGGCTGTTTGTGATTTAAAAATATCTATATTTGATAGAAGGCTGAGGTGGGAGGATCACTTGAGCCCAGGAGTTCAAGGTTACAGTGAGGTATGATCCGTATATCACTGTGCTCCAGCAGCCTGTGTGGGTGATAGAGTGAGACTCCATTTTTTTTTTTTTAAATTGAAAACCAGGAAACAATTTTGCTACTGTGCTTAGTAATTTGTAATTGTTAGAATTACTAAACATTAAAGGATTGATAGAAATCAATTCTGAATCTAAAATATAGTATGCTGAAATAAAAGTATATGAAAATAAACTGCTGCTAGTCATGCAAGTCAATCCTTGTCTATTTCTCTTTTACTTTTCTTTGTAATCTTTGTAGAATAGTGAACCAAAGAGAATTATAATGGAAATGTTGAAACTTTTACTAAATATTAAGTATGACATTTTTACCAGAGATGATTGACATTAAATTTAATTATTTGAGCACTGAATTAATGATTTCTTTCCTTCTTTCTTTCTTTCTTTCTTTCTTTTTTTTGAGACAGAGCCTCAAACTGTCACCCTGGGCAGAGTGCTGTGGCATCACAGCTCACAGCAACCTCCAACTCCTGGGCTTAAGCAAGTCTCCTGCCTGTGCCTCCCAAGTGGCTGGGACTACAGGCGCCCATCATAACACCCAGCTATTTTTTGGTTGCAGCCGTCATTGTTGTTTGGTGGGCCTGGGCTGGATTCGAACCCGCCAGTTCAGGTGTATGTGGCTAACACCTTAGCTGTTTGAGCCACAGGCGCTGAGTCTGAATTAATGATTACAACACCCATTATTTTTAAATGAAGTAAAATTATAATATTAAATTTTAAAGAATTCTTTTTTACCTTATTTCCTGAATGCTCACAGAATTTAGTAAAGAAGAACCCAGCTCTATTTTCTACATACAAAGATTGCAGCAAGCTTTCCATGTCACCTCCTCCCAAAGTTCCAACATCTAACATGCTTTTAACCTAGATAACAAAACAGAAGTCCATTACCCACCCAAACACATCATGATTTTTTTTATGGCATTGCATAAGAGGGTTTCATAAATTCTTTCAGGCTGTCATTTTCCCACTGGATTATTTTAGTTTTGTATCATATATTTAATTAATGCAGTATGTTTGCATCTGACTGTCTCAAAAGACATTTATGGAGTCCAACGATAGCAGCAGAATTCATTCTATTATTGACAAATCTGAGTTCAAACTTAATGTTGAAGCAACTTCCCAACCTCAATTATCTTCATGTTTCAGGCACAATAATGCTATTTTAGGAGTCTTCCAAATCTTGGCCTACTTCCTACTTATTTCTTGGCCTCTTTCCTACTTATTTACTGTCATTTTAGCCTTGAGGTGCTGCTACTATAGCTACAGGAGGGTTATAAAAAGAACTATCTCCAAGGCCTCTCTGTGCTGCTCATTAACTGTCCTTAGGGGGTCCCTCTTTGGATAGTCTCATCCTGCACAGGTCATGGCCTACACAGTGTAAATGGCAGTATTGGTCCTCATAAAACTTTGCTGTTTATGGGTTTCTCTGCCAACAATGCTGGCAACCCTAATAGCATTTCTGAAACACAGAAAACTAGCTATTTCCCCAAGCACAAGAGTGACATGAGAGCATGAAAAGACATCTACTATGCACTTTAATTCTATTTGTTTTGTCTTTCTAATCGCTTTTTTTTTCCTGGAGACAGAGTCTCAAGTTGTCTCCCTGGGTAGAGTGCTGTGGCGTCACGACTCTTACCAACTTCAAACTCTTGGGCATAAGCGACTCTCTTGCCTCAGCCTCCCAAGTAGCTGGAACTACAGGAACCTGCCACAATGCCCGGCTATTTTTGTTGTTGTTGCAGTTGTCATTGTTGTTTTAGTTGGCCTCGGCTAGGTTCAAACCTGCCAGCCTCAGTATGTGGCCAGTGCCCTATCCACTGAGCTACGGGCACTGCCATTTTGGTCTTTGTAATCTTAATCCAAGTGTGGCATGAACCATTTAGGGTTTAAGTAAGGTTCTTGCTCGCCCTCTGTCACACAGTCTCTCTACTTACCCCTTTATCTGCCTGCTAAACAAATTCTGAGGTGAGAATTTAATGTTTTTATGATGTTCGATCATCAGCATTTCAAACTAAAAAGTCATTATTTAGGGGTGGTGCCTGTGGCTCACTGAGTAGGGCACCAGCCCCATATACTGAGGGTGGTGGGTTCAAACCCAGCCCCGGCCAAACTGCAACAAAAATATAGCTGGGCGTGTGGTGGGCACCTGTAGTCCCAGCTACTCGGGAGGCTGAGGCAAGAGAATTGCCTAAGCCCAGGAATTGGAGGTTGCTGTGAGCTGTGATGCCACAGCACTCTACCGATGGTGATAAAGTGAAACTCTGTCTCTAAAAAAAAAAAAAAAAAAAGTCATTATTTAGTAAGGGGAAATTTCAATTAGAAGAAAAGGAAAACTATTTGCTTAGAATAAAATAAACAGTTACACAAAATTATAGCTAAATGTTCAGACTATACTGGGACTGGTAAGGTTTCTACCAAACATACACATATAATCCTTAGGGGATAAGAAATTTTCGTCTAGAACTAGTACATTAAATCCATGTTACAGAGTACTTACATTCTGAAGACACCTGTATTTTAAAATTATGGGTTTCCAACATCAAATACTACTTTTATCAAGTGTTAAAAATTTAATATAAATACTACATTTGAGGTATCATCATGCCCAAACCAGAACATAGTTGCTTTTGAAAATTCCAATCAATGAAATATATAGCAGTGTGGTACTAATGAAATATATAGCAGTGTGGTACTAACAAAGGGTGAAAGGGTGAAATTTTTGTGTAAAAATCCTTTGGCAAAAAAAAAAAAAATCAAATGTTTTGCTTAGTAGAGAAAAAAAGTATTATGATAAATCAATAAAAATTCTCTAAAATCAGGAACAATGAAATTTTCATTTTTTTTTAAATGAAAAATCAGATTATTTGGTCCTCAAAATGCTTACCTGGGGTTCTTCGCTATAAGTGTATCTTCGATCCAGCTCAGGCTTCAGACACTCAGAAATATCAGTAAACGATGTTAAACGAACAACTCTCTTGCTTTCTGACATGGACCTTAACCTAAATTATGGGAATGAAAACTAGTTGATAAACAAATTTTGAGTACTTTCGGTATACAGGGCATCAAATCTTATGAGTATTTCTGAGCAATGTGAGAGAAATACTTTTCAGGGGGAAAAAAAACACATCAGTTCCAGCCTGAAGAGGTGCTTGAGAAAATGAGGCAGAGTTATACAGAAAGACAATTCTCAAAATAACTACTGCTCAAATGAATTGGAGAGAGTATATTATAGATGCCAAATGACTGGGATGGGTAATAAATGCTAAGAGAGCATAGAATGAGAAGTTCCTTCAACCTATATTAAAGAAATGAAATTTTTCCTGAAAAATTAGGAGATAATATTTTGTATATATACCTGAGAGCACGTGTGTGTGAGTGTCTGTGCGGGAGGAGTTATTTAGAGCAATAAGTGAAGCTAATAGGGAAATCCATGTTTTAAAAGCAGCAAAGATAATTTGCTCAGGGCAAGAAGACAGTAACAGTTAAGTGAACATTAACAACTACATACCAAACACTGTGCTAGATAAAATCCTAATACTGAATCGCCAAAACAGGCAAGAGTCAAAGGGAATTATACAGGTTAGTTTGGGGTGAGATAATGGAAGTCTTTGGAGCTAAACTAAAGACTTTGGACATCACCTTTTTACATTTTCCTATCCAACTCCCTCTCCCATGCCCCAATGCAATTATCTAAACTTTATTTTCTAGCTCCATAAAACATGGTTGTTCCACCTCACCAAACTCCACCCCAATCCATGAGCAGATCACCTTGCAAGTTCTTCTCACACAAAATATTGGTACGACATGCTTCAATTTCCACTCCCCCATGTAGTAGACATGGTTAACTGGTCAGCTAACCCAATATCCATTCCATAAAACATGCTTTTTCCACTTCGCCAATCTACTTCCATTCCAATCCGCTAGCAAATTACTTTACAGATGCTTCTCACACAAAATGTTGGTACAGCACACACTTCAATTTCCATTCCTGCCCCCTCCGTGACAGACACAGTTAACTGACTGGGTAACCCAATGCCCACTCCCAGTTACATGTTTCTGTACACACCACCTCTGAGACCTGAAAAAGCTAAACATTCACTTTCCAAGACTCCCTGGCAGACAGAACTACCCCTGTGATATAGTTGTGACTAATGAGATACAAAATGAAGTCTGCTGGGGAACTTCTAAGAAAGCTTGCCTTCCTGACCAAAGGGAGAGGGTTAATGGAAATCGCCCTTCCCCCTTCTTTCTGCCTTCAAGGCCTGATGTCCCAAGCTGCAACACAACTGGCCATGAGGGAGCGGCCAAGAGCAATACAAAGATTCTGGGCCTAAGACTTGTGACCTGTTGAACCAAGGTCCGCAGTTGCTTACTTCAGATTTCTTCTTATGTGAGAAAAACAAGATTAATTCACCTAAGCCATTGTTAGTCAGATTTTGTTATTTGCAACTGAAAGGACTCTTATGTGATCAATAAACACATCCGCCTATACTCATCCTTACTTCTTTCTGTCTTGACTCAGGAACAGGTGCCCCAGCTGCCCATGGTTAATCTCAATACCTTGGTTGTTGAATCCTTCTCTCAATTCTCCTTTGAAAATGGAGATCTTTCTTTCTCATTTATTTTTAATTTTTCCATTTCCATTGGATTTTAGTCTATTTATATCAATAGACTCAAGTCTCTTCCACCTTAAAAATACCCTTTCTGATGAAAACAAAAACAGAATGTACCAAAATTATGGGATATAGCTAAAGCAGTGCTTGGAGGAACATTTTATTGCTATAAAAGCCTACATTAGAAAAAGATCTCAAATCAATAATGTAAGCCTAGCACTCTGGGAGGCTGAGGCAGAAGGACTGCTTGAGCTCAGGAGTTTGAGACCAGTCTAAGCAAGAAAGAGAAAAAAAAAGAAAAAAATTAGCCAGGTATTGTGGCAAGCACCCATAGTCCCAGCTACTCAGGAGGCTGAGGCAGGAAGATTGCTTGAACCCAAAAGTTTGAGGTTGCTCTGAGTTAGGCTGATGCCACTGTACTCTTACCTGGGCAAAAGAACGAGACTTTGTCTCAAAAAAATTTTTTTAACTACTAGAACTAACTATTGAACTAATAAGTGCATAAGGTCACAAGGCATAAGATAAATATTTTAAAAGTTAAATTTGTATACACTAGCAATGAAAGAAAACATTTTCATTCACAATAGCTTTAAAAGGAACAAAATACTTAGAAATAACTTTATGAAATTCTCTCCCCTAAATCCACTTACATTTAACTTTTATTCTCACTCATTTCAAATTTTTAATTCAATATTTTAAAAACAGTGATCGACGGAATACTACTCAGCACTAAAAGGAACAACTGTGGATACATGGATCAACTCAGATAAGTTTCCAGGGAATTGTGCTTAGTAAAAAAACCCAACCGCAAAATGCTGCACACTTCATAATTCCATTTATATAACATTCTTGAAATGACAAAATTATAGACATGGAGGACAGGCATGGTGGCTAATACCAGTAATCCTAGCACTTTGGAAGGCCAAGGTAGGAGAATTGCTTGAGCAGGAGTTCAAGACCAGACTGAGCAACATAGTGAGACCCCTATCTCCACAAAAACTATAAATATAGATAAAGAAAGAGAAGGGAAAGAGAGAGAGAGAGAGAGATGGAGAATAGATTAGTGGTCCCCAGTGGCTAGAGAAAAGAGGAGGGAAGGAAGTGGCTGTGACTACAAAACAGTGGCCCAAGATTTCCTAAGTCACAGAACTGTTTGGTATTTTAACTGTAGTAATAGTCACATGAGAATGTACTTGTGATCAAATTGTATAAAACTAAACACACACACAACTACATATAAAACTGGTAAAATATGATTAGGGAAATCATTGACATTCTATAAATGTCAGTTTCTTGGATCTGATACAGTACTCCAGTTATGCAAGACATTACCATTCATTCATAACCACAACAGTGAATGAAGGGTATACAGGACCTCTCTAAATCATTGTTACAATTACATATAAATCTACAATCCTTAAAGGATTACAAGAAGACTGTTCTATATTAATTGTTTCCTCTTTACTTTCAACATGTTCTTGTAGCTATTGACATCTGGCTTCTGACTCTTGAAATTTACGTTTGTAACACTGTCGATAATTTCATCATTAATAAATACAATGAATGCTTACTGCTATTATCTTAACTACTTTGCAACATTTAACACCCTCTTAATATTCTTTCTTCCCTTGGATTCCATGATACCACTCTTTCCCATAGTTTCCCAGAAGATTACTTCTTCTTGGTCTTCTTTTCTGGCTCCTGCTATCTGCCTTTACTGTAAGGTTTGAAAACTTAGTTCTTCTTATTATATTACTTTCTCTCTCTCTCCCCCCCTCTATCCATCTTACCTTCAGCTTCAACTATCCCCTAAAGTATAAAGCTTCTCAAATTTTTAAATTTAAGTTGATCTCTCTCTCAGATTCCAGGCCTATATTTCAACTCTTCTGGACATGTGCATCTATATCCTATGTAGTTTTATACTTTTTATTCAAATATAATTCACATTTTCAACACACAAAAAAATATGCATTAGCAAGGATGCAGAGGAATTAAAACCCAAAGTAGTTTTATCTCAGTCCTCAAGAGTATCTTAGGCTCTATATTCATTCATTCAACAAATATTAATCAAACACATACCATGCACCAAACACTACAGGATACACAGAGGGGCAGTCCCCTAGGCAGCACCCCAGACTGAACTCATCATCAGCCTCCTCCAGTCCTGTTCTTCCTCCTTCTGAGGATAGCAAGTTCATAGGAAATAATGTAAAAGAGTTCTTAAATGTGAAAAAATGTTCAACTTCAATTAAAATAAGAGATGCCAGTTTTTAAAACTTACCTATGCATTAGCAGAGGTAATGCATATTGTGCTGGTAACAGCATGGTAAAAAAAAAGAAAGTACTCTCATACATATTGGCAGGAGTATAAACGGTTACAGCTCCTATGAAAGACAATTTAGCAATAACTAGCAAAATATAAAAAGCATGTGAACTTTGACTCAAGAATTCTTTTAGAAATGTATCATGTATATGTGTGTATATATATGTGTGTGTGTACACGTATGTATATATTTGTTGTGTGAAAAACACAGCAATGCACAAGCATATCCACTGCAACGTTGTTGGTAATGGCAAAAAACATTTGAAACAATATCATGTTCCTTAATAGAGTACAAATATAATGTTTGGTATATTATCAAAGAACCAGGCATAAAATGAGACAAAATGACAAGAATAAGAACAAGAATCAAAAGATAATGGTATATCTGCTGTTACAGCATAATTACTTCTGTGAAAAAAAAATTCTAAGATATATTAATAAAAATTAGAAAACAGAGAAGGGACGGAATAGGTGTATACAGCTTGCCGCTATTTTTGAACTATGTGTCTATCTCCAAATTTTAAAAATAAAATAATTTTAATATGGGACATAATATTTGCTATTTTCCACTGCATAGAAAGTAATCTTCAAATTCCTTAATGTGACAGATAAGAAATTTCACATTCTGAACCTCATTCATCCCTTTAGCCTGTCTCCTGCTTTTTCACTATACTACTCTAGCCATAATAACAATGTATAGGATAGTTTTCAAAGTTGACTTTTCTCTCCTCTCTTGCCTGTCTTTCCACCATTTCATCACCTGAAAGATGAAGATAATTCAATGCAAAGTATCAACACCATAAATGATCATTAATTGATACTTTTGCAAATGGCAGACAAAACAATTTGGATCAAGCTCACACTGAAGGGAATTAGGTAAACTGAAAAAAATACAAAAATAAATCTGCTTGAAAGCTTCTAATGCTAATAATTTAGTCAGGAATTTTTCAGTTAAAACCCAAATGATAAAAACTCACACAGGTGACTTCAGCATTTGAGGTTGCTCTATCCTAATGGTTTGCTGATAATGAAAAGCATCTAGTAAACTTAGTAGCATGTTTAACAGTCATGGGCACCAACTAATCCTTCATTCTTACTTTCAGTTGGGAACTCCCAGGGCTGTACCCTAGTAGTAAGAAGTAAACCAACCCTTGCATATACTGGAGCATAACTTTGAGTTGTTTTTTGGCTCAGAAAAATCCCTGGAATTGGATTGAGATGATCCAAGATTACTAGTGCTTGAATTTCGTATGGGAAAAGCCAAGAGAGAAAAATCTCCTCTAGAAAGATATAATGTAAAACCTAAGCTTCAAATAAATTCTGCACATAATTTTTCAAATAAAAGATACAGCATAAAATGAACAAAAATGAGACACAAGAACAGAGAAGACAACAAGAATAAAAACTAGCTAAAAACAGAACAAATGATGACTTTTGGCCTTTTGGCTAAGATCAAGTGTAAAAACATAACAAATGAAAAAAGTCGCAGGAGATCTAGATATTAAAAAAACATCAGACACAGACTTTAAACAACTATAATCAGGGAGATAAAGCAGAAGACCAAGAATGTCTGCAGGAAGCTGGGAATTCTAAAACATGACATGACATATCTATAAAAGAGTCAAAGAGAAGTTATGGAAATAAAAAAATATAATAGTTGAAGTTAGAAACTCAATAGATGTAATTAAGAGCAGATTAGATACAGTTAAAGAAACAGCAAACTGGACAATAACAAAAATACCTAGAATAAAGCACAATGAGATGACAGGATTGAATAGAGAAGGCTCTAAGAGGATAAATTGAGAAGGCCTAACATACACGTAACTGGAATCCCAGAATGAGAGGAAAGAAAGAGTAGGTTAGAAGCAATATCAGAAGAGACAGCAGCTGAAATTTTTCTAAAATTGATGAAAGACATCAAAACCACAGATCTTTAACTCCAAGTTGACTACGTAAAGGAAAACCTACACCTAAACACATCAGAGTAAAACTGCAAAAAACAAAATATAATGAAAATCCTGAAGTGGGATATCTTTGTTTTATTTCATTTCCTACCCCTTAATCCTAAAGGAGAAAAAGATACATTCTCCTCAAAGATATATTATCTTCAAAAGAACAACAATTAGCCTGACAGTATCTCAACAGAAACATTTGATAGCTAGAAAACAACTTAATATCTTCAAAGTGTTAAAAGGAAATAACTGCCAAGCGTAGGGGCTCATGCCTGTAATCCTAGCACTCTGGGAGGCCAAGGCAGGTGGACTGTTTGAGTTCAGGAGTTGGAGACCAGCCTGAGCAAGAGTGAGACCTTGTCTCTACCAAAAATAGAAAAATGAGCTGAGTGTTGTGGCAGGCACTTGTAGTCCCAGCTACTCAGTAGGCTGAGGCAAGAGGACCTCTTGAACCCAAGGGTTTGAGGTTACTGTGAGCTATGATGCAACAGCACTCTAAGGAAAAAAAGGAAAGAAAGAAAAGAATCACCAATCTATAATTTTATACTCAACAAAATATATTTAAGAGTGAAAGTGACCACAACATAATGACTCTTGAAAACATTATGCTAAGAAGACAGGCACAAAAGGCCACAGGTCTGTGTAAACATATTCCACATATATTCCAGATAAATGAAAGGTCCAGCATAGGCAAATCCATAGGTATTGAATAATAATTACGAGGAGCTGGAGGAGGAAGAATATAGAGTGACTACTAATCTGTACAGGGCTTATTTGGGATGGCATGAAATGTTCTGGAATTATATAGTATGATGGTTGTACAACTTTGGGAATATACTAAAAATCACTGGTTGTATATCTGAACATAATTAAAATGGTGAATTTTAAATCAATAAAAAGTATTCAAGTAAAGAAATAAATTATTAAACAAAAATTATGCTTTCCCTGGTCATGTAATAAAATAATTCAAGGTTAATACCAAACAGTGTTCTTCCAGCTAAAGGGCAATAATCCCACTGGAAATAAAGAACAATGAAAGTGTAAATATGTGGGTAAATATCTGGTCCCTGGCTTATTTAGGTTCCGGACGTGGACCACTATGCTACCTTGCTTGGGAATAACTGCTCTTAGGTGCCTGAGGGCTATTTGCTTTAGCAGAAGGGAGAGAGAGAGAAAGACAGTATTCGAGGGAGTAAAGCAGTCTTAGTAAGCATATATCTTAGCAGTCTTTCGTAGAGACAGACGTTGTGCAGGCGTTCTCCAGGCAGGAGAAGCGAGAGTCAGAGTGAGCAGGTCATGATAAAATGCATGCTCCCGACTGCCTTCTCCTCCAGCCTCTTATAGACACACTCCTGTCTCTTAACACCACAGGTGTAGAGACTGCCAATCACTGGTGCTCTGTCCCGCAAGCTCTCATCTTAGGAGAGCCAAATCCTTCCCCATGCCCTTTTCACCAAGGTGTTACATTACCCAGCTATACAGGTGTTTCTTATAACTCTCACTCCTCCTTGCCATACGCTATATGGGCTGCTTGTTTAATATACCATATTAAACAAAATAATATTCTTGATAGTCTTATTAGTTAGTTCTCAGATTTGAGAAATATTGAATTATTGAACAGAGCCAAACAGGAATTAGATGGCAGGCTTCTCAGAGAATTCTTGATTGTACAGCTCATGACAGAGGATCATCTCCTTAAAATTACTGATAGCTGGAATTCTACTCCTAATTTAGAGTATACATGGAATATAAGCCTTTAATACATATATCTGAAATATAATAACCCATGTAAAAAAGCAATACACTAGTCTTCAATTTCTACTTAATTTTTTAAATTATTCAAAAATTTTTACCATTGCAGAAAAGCAACTGATATACAAAAAGCCACACCTACCCTTTCTCAAATGCATCATTCTTATTCTTAGCGGAAATTGGATACAGAGACTCACTCTTCCAAAGTTTCTGAGTTGTTGTTTTTATTGCATGTGCTTTCCTGGGAGATTTAGGAGATTGTGATAAGCTGAATTCCTCTTTCTAAAAGGTGGTAAGATAATGAACAAAATGAAAAATGAGCAAAAGGGTGGGGGGGAAGAGACAATAAAGTATAAGTACATAGCTTTGCACACATACCTCAAATTTGTTCAGCTTACTAGAGGAGTTTTCCCCTCCCTCTACCTCCCACCAAGCTTCCCACTAGAATAGAAATTTCTCCTGGTCCAATTTCTACTTTATGCAACTAGCAAAGTCAAATCCAACAGCAACTTAGATTCTAAGAAATAAACTAAAGGCTTCTCTATATGTATTTTCACCAGTGTGAAAGAAGACTCTTTCCTGGAGGAAAAACTTCACAAATTTTTTTCATTATTCTATAACTGAATAGGTATTAAAGCTAATATGTGGCAGCGCCTGTAGCTCAGTGGGTAGGATGCTGACCACATACACTGAGGCTGGCGGGTTAGAACCTGGCCTGAGCCAGCTAAAATCAACAACAATAACTGCAACAAAAAAATAGCTTAGTGTTGTGGCCGGCACCTGTAGTCCTAGCTACTTGGGAGGCTGAGGCAAGAGAATCGCTTAAGCCCAAAAGTTTGAGGTTGCTGTGAGCTGTGATGCTATGGCACTCTACTGAGAGTGACATAATGAGACTCTGCCTCAAAAAAAAAAAAAAAGCTAATGTGTGTGTAGGGTAGGATCACAAAGCATGGAAATGAAACAAAGATATTAACTGTCCATCAGAAGGGACAGATTCTTGTTTTATCAGCATTATTTTCTTACATTTTTAGACATTTTATTTTTATGGGCTTTTTCCCATTCTTCCCCCCCCCATGGGACCATTCCTAAAAGTTTTTTATGGTAACAGGTAACAATTTAAATCCAGAATGTGAGATCTACATGCATGAATCAATAAAACTATAAGCAACTAAATGTCCAAATAAAACTATAAGCAACTAAATGGAGGAGAAAGAAAAGATTGCTTGAGTATGGGACATTAAATGTAGCATTACACAATCCTTAAAAATAGTGGTTATAAAAATGATAATATGCAGAAGAATAATACTGGTGAGAAAAGAAATAATCAAAATATATATAAGTACATGAAAACAAAAACTTCACAAGGAAAAAACCTAAGATTTTAGTAGCTGTCTAATAGTAGATAAGATCAGAAGTGATAAGTCTCTCTCTCTGTGTTTCAAATTGACAAACGTTTTCTTGTCTTTATAATTTGAAAAACAAACATAAAAAACTTTACTATGTCAACTTCCATTATAATATTGTATACATTGCTGAAAACCAAGGAATACATTTATGATGTTTATTAACCAGAACAAACAATAAAATCTTATATATACCATATAGTCAATAATTACTAAGAATTTTTAAGAATTCTATAAACCAAATGAAGAATTGAAGTATATTCTACATATAATTTCCCAGGTATCAGGGCTCACATCTATTCTAGTAATTTAGAACACAGCAGGGATTAAACACCACTCAATAAATCAGAGTTACCACAGGAGGCTCAGCTTATTGCTTGAAGTTTTATATATCTGAAAAAGAAGTCAAATTCAAAGAGACAGGACGTAGAATAAAGATTATGGGAGGCTGGTGGGAAAAGAGAAGAGGGAGGCTGTTTTTTAATAGGCTAGATTTGCAAGATGAAAAAGTTTTGGAGATCTGTTTCACAAAATTGTGAATATACTTGACGCCACTGAACCATATACTTAAAAATGGTTAGGATGGTCAATTTCATGTCATATTTGTTACCACAGTGCCTTTAAAAATTTTTCTTTAAGAAAAACTTTTAAAAAGTATATCTTATAGAGAAGGGCCTACATTAGATTTTTTGAGCTTGTTGGCTTAGGTCAGTGATTTTCAACCAGTGTGCTGTGAGAGGATCTTAGGTGTGCCACAAAAATTTTTAAAGATCATTAGTTAAATTATCTTCAAAAGAAGTTCAAAGCACAGTAAGTATATCCTTTTTTATTTTATTTATTTATTTATTTATTTTTGGCCAGGGCTGGGTTTGAACCTGCCACCTCCAGTATATGGGGCCAGCACCCTACTCCTTTGAGCCACAGGCCCCGCCTTCGTTTTTTAATTTTTTTTTGATCAACATAATTTAAGCGTGCCATAGAAGTTTAACTGTAGGTTCAAATGTGCCATGAAATTAAAAAAAAAAAAAAACATTAAAAATACAAACTTAGATGAAAGCTAGAAGTAGCCAGAAAGTAACTGATAGAAAAAAGAGAAAATAAAGCTGACAAAGGGCACCATTTGGGGGGAAGGTGGTGTAAAGAACCACTCCAGTGCTGTGATTATGATGGTGGCTACACAGTGTATACCTCTGATCAAATTTATAGAACTATGACACTACAAAGAGTAAATTTTACTGTATTTAAACTACACCTTAATTTTTTAATGGGGAAAAAATAGAATTGAATTCTATTCTCTGTTTGTTTGTTTGGTTTTTGTTTAGCAGGCCTGGGCCAGGTTTGAACCCACAAGCCCCAGTGCATGTGGCTGGCGCCCTAACCACTCAGCACGGGTGCCCAGCCTGAATTCTATTCTTTGGAGTATTTTCTGCCAAGGAGAGAGTGTGTGAGATTAGAATGAGTTGTCCAGCTACAGAACGTCAAGGACAACATATGGCAATGGTTTTCAGGAAGCCAAATGTGGGTAACAGATAAGAAGTCATGTCTGTACCACTTTCTCACACAGGCTATTCTCTGCCCACTCCTTTAGCCTTGTTCTCTTCTTTGAGTTGCTTCTTTTAACCACATGGCTTATTTTTTCTTCCCTCTCCCTTCTCAGTTTGATAATGTTTGCACACATGTTTATGCACTAGCAGATGATGTGCAGCTCCAAGAGGAGCATTCACATAGTGACTGGGTCACTGAAGTCACCTGGGCTGACTAGGAGGATTAATCAGTGGAGTGACATATAAAAAAGCCACATGGTGCTAAGGAAGTCGGGAAGATGTCGAAACAACAGATAAGAAATTGTTAGTGGGGGCCGGGCATGTTGGCGCACACCTGTAATCCTAGCACTCTGGGAGGACTGCTTGAGTTCAGAAGTTCAAAACCAGCTTAAGCAAAAGTGAAACCCCTATCTCTACTAAAAATAGAAAAATTAGCTGGGCATCATGGTGGGCACCAGTAATCCTATCTACTCAGGAAGCTGAGGCAGCAGGATCACTTGAGCCCAAGAGTTTGAGATTGCTGTGAGATATGATGACATCTCTGTACCCTACTCAGGGTGACACAGTTAGATTCTGTCTCAAAAAAAAAAAAAAAGAAAATATTAGTGCACTAAAGTGACACTAATTCAAAGTGTGCTTCCCAGAGCAGCAGCAAGAGCATTCACCAGGGAGAGAGCTTGTTAGAAATGCAAATCCTTGGGCCATACTGTGGGTCCTGTCACGACCCACAGGAACCGTATTAAAGGGTCACGGCATTAGGAAGGTTGAGAACCACTGCCCTAGACCTAGTGAGTCTTGATCTCCAGGTGGAACCTAGAATCCCTGTTTTAACAAGCTCTTACAGCGACCCTTATGAATGCTAAAGCTCAAGAACCACCAGCCTACGACAGTGCATGGCATACAAATCACCTGGGAATCTTATTAAAATGCAGGTTCTAAAGGTGGCTCTGAGGTTCAGGCAGGGTTGAGAATCTGTAAGCCAAGCCCCTAATTCTAGTGAGTGACACTGACCCATTCCAGATCACCTAAATCAGAAACTCTGGAGGTGGGACCCAGGCATCAGTATACTATAAAAAGTTCTCCCAGTGATTCTAGTATGTATCCAGGGTTAACCACTGACAGAGAGAAATCTTAAGGTCCCTCCAGCTGTAAAACACTACTTATAGAAGTAAAATTACACTGAACAGCTTCCTGTCTTTTAAGTAAGACATCCTGAGTATAAAGCAATCTTATGAGGAGGTTAAGTGTGACTATGGCCAATAATAGTTAACATGTGACATATTTAAAGACTACTAAGATTCGTAAGGATCTTTATTACTGGCATGCAAGTCTTACCTACACTTTTTGCATCTGTTTGCCCAAGTATATAGGATTATTTCTTCCTTATGATGTTAGATAGCTTTTCTTCTCTTTTTGGATTTCTTAGTTTATATTTGCGTGCTATTCTTTTCCTCCCCATGTGAAAGAATGCTTCCAATTCCGCTGTTGCTACTATCACTCATGCACTTAGGTTGTATTTACTAAGCAACTGTTATGTGACAGGCACTATTCTAGGCACTGGGAATAAGTACTTAACAAATTAAAGTCCCTTACATTGCAGTTGGAGGTAATAAACAGATAAATCATGTGTTCATAAATACAGTAAGGCAAAATAAAGCAGGGCAAAGAGCACAGAGGGTCCCAGAGGGTGTGGATGCTGTTCCACCAAAGTGTCCTGACAGAAGAGTCAAGGATGGCCTTTCTGATTAAGTGGTTCTTAAGCAGACACCTAAAAGGAGTGACGGGCAAGTCACATAGGTATCTGTAGGAAGAGTGACCCCAGCAGGGCCAACAGCAAGTACAAAACCCTGGGGAGGTGGGGGGGCGTTGTCTTCAAAAAAGAGCAAAGAGAAAACCAGAGCGGTTAGAGTGGAGTAAGTTAGAGAAGAATGGTGGGAAATGAGGTCAGGAGCTTAGCAGGGGCTTGCACAGCTGTGTAAAGACTTTGGCTTTTATTCTGAGTTAGAGAGGAGGCCACCAGAGAATTCTGAGCAATTGAGTGATGCAATCATGTATTTTTTTTTTTCAATTTTTTTGCAGTTTTTGGCCAGGGCTGGGTTTGAACCCACCACCTCTGGTATATGGGGCCGGCACCCTACCCTTCTGAGCCAAGGGCGCCGCCCCACAATCATGTATTTTTAAAGTATCACTGTGACTGCTTGGGAGAGAACAGACTGTAGGTTTTCTTTTCTTTTCAAACTTTAAGAGATTGAGGGATTACAAGTTGAATTCCATTACATGTATGTGTAGTATAGTGAGGAAGTTGGGGCTTTTAGTGTACCCACCACCCAAATAGTGTACATTGTATCCCACAGGTAATCTTTTACCCCTCACTTCTTCCCACTCTCCCCCCTTTTGAGTCTCCAATATCCCTTACCTCCCTCTGTATCTTTGCCTGGCCATAGTGTAGCTCCCACATATATGTGAGAACATGTGGCATCTATATTCTGTTCCTGAGTTACTTCACTTAGGATAGTGACCTCCAGTTTCATCCAATTGCTGCAAAGGCATTATTTCATTGTTTCGTATGGCGGTGTAGTCCTCCATAGCGCTTCACACTTGCAAACACACACACACACATACATCACATTTTCATTATCAACTCATCGGTTGATGGACATTAGGTTGGTTCCACAAGCTTGAAATTGTGAATTGTGCTGTGATAAACATACATACAAGTGCAGGTATCTTTTTGATGTAATAATTTCTTTTCCTTTGGGTGGATACCTAGTAGTGGAATTTCAGGATCAAATGGTAGATCTACCTTTAGATCTTTGAGAAATCTCCATACGGATCTCCATATAGGTTTTACTAATTTATCTTCCCACTAATCGCCTGTAAGTGTTCCCTTTTCACTGTGCCCAAGCTGCTATCTATTGAGTTTTGACTTTTTAATAATGGCCATTCCACTGGGAGTAAGCTGGTATCTCACCATAGTTATGATTAGTGATGGTAATTGTTTTCTCGTATGTTTGCTGACCATTTGTATATTTTCTTTTGAAAACTTCCTGAGCACAGACTATAGGTTTTCTTATTTCCTAATTGGGGCAGTAAGTACATTAGCCAACAACAGTAATAGTAACAAAAAAGCTTATGATGAAACTGAGTTTCAGTGTCCAAACACTCAAGCTTAGATATTTTACCATAAACAATAGAGATCAAAGCATCAAGGTACACCCTACCTGGATCTCAGACGTCTGTGGAATGCAAGATTTAGGTCTTAGTGGCAAGAGGGTTGCCATTTGTGGAAAGGGGTCAATATCTTTCCTTGGTTTCTCTTGACGGAAATGCCACAATTTCAGTTCGGCATTAGCAGATTTTGCTGAGGCTGAACGAGTAACACAGAATCTTGGTCCCCTGTTTATTGGAAAAATTAATTTAAGACTGAACTAGACAATAAGCTACAAAAATCAAAATGTTACAAAATACATAATAGCTGTGCTTACAAAATTATCCATTTTGTCATACCCCCCCTTTTTTTAGAGACAAAGTCTTACTTTATTGCACTCAGTAGAGTGCTGTGACATCACAGCTCACAGCAACCTCCAGCTCCTGGGCTTAGGTGATTCTCTTGCCTCAGCCTCCCCTAGCTGGGACCACAGGCACCCACCACAACGCCCACTAATTTTTTGTTGCAGTTTGGCTGGAGCTGGGTTTGAACCTGCCACCCTCGGTATATGGGGCCGGCGCCCTACTCACTGAGTCACAGGCATCACCCTGTCATACCCCCTTTTAAATATTGTCTACTTCTTTTTCTGCTGCCTAGCCCTAAAATATTTTTCTATGATGTATTAACTTCCTACAATCCAATTCACTCATATTAAAAAGGCAATATTAGGGCAAAATCCTAAGTATTGTTATGTTAAAATTATGTTTGATAAGAAAAATCTATATATCTTACAATGAAGCAATTTTAAAAATAACTCATGTTTCTAGTAAAATAAACATAAAAAGTACTTCTGACAATGTTAAAGCATTTTAATATTTATTTATAGCACCAAATAAAAATTGGTAGAATGAAATTCACATATAAATGTTTTCATAATGCTTAAGTATGGTAGTAAAGTAGGTTATGATTCATATTATTTATCTTCAATCCTTAAATTTGAAGGTAAGAATTAATTTTACAATTTATATAAATGAGAGACCAATACCACTGCCAGAAACTAGGAAAAAGGAATGTCTGGCACAGTATCAAGGCCACACTTAATTGGATGGATATCCTGGTATTTAGTATTCGGACTAGCTCTTTATTGGATAGAGAGTTAACTCCAGCTGTCAAGGCCTGCTGCTAATTGCTTCTTGGACCAGATTTTCTCCCTGATGCCACATTTCAAAGACTAATTCCTATTCCATACTCCAGGGGCTGGTAGAAAATTGTTTCTCTTCAAATAAGGAAGAGGCTAGACATCTTTCCTAATGTGAACAGAGACGGGAAGTGGGAAAAAACCCAAAGTCCATAATTAGTTTAGGATCCAGAAAGCACTCTGTATATCTCCATGGTCATTCTATACTATATTTCAGAAGCTTTACTTGCAGACTGGGAAATACCCAAAATTACTTATTTGCATGTTAATCAGTAAGTGGGCATATCTATAAGCCCTTATTGGCCAGGCATGGTGGCTCATGCCTATAATAAACCCAGCATTTAGGGAGCCAGAAGCAAGAGAATCACTTGAGGCCTGAGGCCAGGAATTTGAGACCAGCCTGGGCAACATAGTTAGACCTCATCTAAAAAAAAAAAAAAAAAAAGCCACTTATCAAATCTTTATCAGATAAAACACACACAGGATGTGCAGGAAATCCAGGTGTCTCAAATGTCTGATTTACATCATTTGAGAATATTATATGACTCTGTAAGTCCCTGCTGCTCTTACCATTTTAATTTTACATTCTTACTTAATTTGCATAGCTTGAATACCTGAGTGGTCACTACATGAATTCCTCAAAATATTATGGCCTCATTCATAATGAGTCCCTAAACTGGTACTGTATTACTTTTTACGCTTCTATTATCCAAGTACTCACGTACAATGACAATACACACCTTAATTCTTAAGCTCTACCAAGAGAAGATATTTACTATATAACCACCAATGACTTGTATCCGATACATATGTGTGTGTGTATCCAAAGGTAATAAACAAAAACTGAAAACAATTTTAATGTCCCTCCATGGGGGAATCACTATAGCACTTCCATACAATGGAATTCTACACAGCAATAAAAAGGAAGGCGCTACCGAGACACACAACAGCCTCGATGGATCTCAAGGGAATTAGCTGAGTTTTAAAAAGGGAATGCCAAGAGATTACCAAATTTCATTTGTTAGCAGTTTCCAGTAGTTAGGAATGGGTGGGCTGAGGCAGGAAAGAGGGAGGCAGCTGTGGTTTTTAAGAGGACGGTACGAGGAATGCTTGTCCCTGTGGTCTTGTGACTGTGGTGGTAAATGCCTGATATAAAATGGTAAAAGAGAACTAAATGCAGATGCACACACAAAGGAGGGTATGCTAACCTAGTGAAATATGAAGAGACCAGCAAATTGTATCCATGTCAGTTTCCTCATTTTCATATTGTGCTATAGTTATGCAGATGTTACTATTGGAGGAAATTGTATAAAAGGTACACCGTATCTCTTTGTATTGTTTCTTACATGTATATCTAAATCTAAAATTATCTCAAAACAAAAAATTCAACTAAAGTAAGGAAACACTACGGAATTGGTAATGTTTTACTAAATGTAATATTTTATTGAGTATTGTGTATACGAGAATCCACTATAGTATAATTTATACCTTTCTGTATGTCTTAATTATTTAAGAATAAAATTCTTTCATGAAAGAAAGAACAGCACTCTCTGTATAGGAAAGTATGAAGCCTATAAAGTAATCTGGAATACTTAGATGGAAGGTGATGCCCAGAAACGGGCAAGGAATAAAATCGTGACAACTTGATTTGCTAATTTAAACTGAGGAAACTGAGCTTTACACTGAAAGCTCTGGGGTAAACAGTGAAAGATTTAAAGCAGCGAAGTGACACAATCTGATCCATCACCGTCACGATGGACAACTCACTGATCTGCGAACAGCACACATTTCTTCCACTGTGCCCATTCTCTTTCCTTGCGTCAAGTCCCAGAGTTCCCAGTAAAATGACCTTTTCTCCGTAGCCTGTACATTTGCCACACTTTCTTTAATCTTACTAAAACATCCACGTCATGTTTCTCCCATTATACTATGACCACTAGACTTGACCATGTTTCACCCTAGTATCTTCAACACAGCACTTTTAGCAAGTGCTAAAAAAAGATTTATCACCTCCATGTATGTTGCCAGCACCCTAACCACTGAGCATGGGTACCTATCACCTTGGCACCCATGCTCAGTGGGTAGGGTGCTGGCAACATACACAGAGGCTGGTGGGTTTGAACCTGGCCCAGGCCTGCTAAACAACAATGACAACTACAACAACAACAACAACAAAAATAGCCAGGTGTGTGGTAGGTGCCTATAATCCCAGCTACTTGGGAGGCTGAGGCAAGAGAATTGCTTCAGCCTAAGAGTTTGAGGTTGCTGTGAGCTGTGACGTGACAGCACTCTACCAAGGGTGACATAGTGAAACTCTGTCTCAAATAAGTAAATGTTTATCAAGATGATAAATCTGGGCTCGGCGCCTATAGCTCAACCGGCTAAGGCGCCAGCCACGTACACCTAAGGTGGCGGGTTCGAATCCCCAGCCCGGACCCGCCAAACAACGACGGCTGCAACCAAAAAATAGCCGGGCGTTGTGGCGGGCGCCTGTGGTCCCAGCTACTTGGGAGGCGGAGGCAGGAGACTCGCTTGAGCCCAGGAGTTGGAGGTTGCTGTGAGCTGTAATGCCACGGCACTCTGCCCAGGGGGACAGCTTGAGGCTCTGTCTCAAAAAAAAAAAAAAAAAAAAAAAGATGATAAATCTGCAACTCTAGCTACATGTATACATATACACACACACACACACACACACACACACACGCAAACCAATTTTATGGGATTCCAATTATAAAAAGGTCAAAGTTAAAAGGGAATTTAGATAATGTCTAGCATTACTATGGATTTAAAGTCACCCAAATATACAGGTTATCTAAGGATAAGTACCTTCAGGAAGGGTAAAGCTATAATAATGTTGTTATTTTAGATTTCTATATGTTATATATCCATAAGACAGAAACATGTAACTCATATAACAAGCTAAGAAAAATGAAAGTGAAAAACTTTGATTTATGTTCTTTTTCTTACCAATACAGAAGTAAAGGTTTTACAACTTCAGACTGAATATTTGTTAAATGTTCTTGAGTCCACTGAGATGAGTCTAACAGTTTAAATTTTGATAAAATTTCTGTAGAAAGGTAGCAGTTTCCACTGCTCACTAGATAAGATTTTTTCATCTTCTCAAGATGCCTGAAAGAAAACACATATCCACACACTTAGATAAATATTCAACTAACCAAAAAGGATTTCACTTCCAGAATGTTTTAGACAAATAGTGAGTGAAATAAACAGTCAACTCTGAGGGTCAGAGAATACCAAACATTTTTGTGGAGATGTTATTTCTCACAGTTATGGGTATGGGAAGAGTTTTTGTGATGGGCTGATAATGACCTTGCAAAGTCACCACATCCCAATCTCCAGAACTTGTGAAGATATTACCTCACATGGTCAAAGGAACTCTGCAGGTGCAATTCAATTAAGGACTTTAAGGAGATCATCCTGGATTATCTGCTGGGCCCAATGTAACTGCAAGGATCCTTAAGAGGGAGGCAGGAGGGTCTGAGCCATAAAGAAAAAGATGTGAGGACAAAACAGAGTTCAGAGAGACAAGAAAATGCTATGCTGTTGGCTTTGAAGATAGAGGCAGAGACCATGAACCAAGGAAAGCTGGTGGCTTCATAAGCTGGAAAAGACAAGAAATAGATTCCTCCCTAGAGCCTTCTGACCTCCAGAACTATGAAAGAATAAATAAAACTTAGTTACTCTAAGTGATTACATTTGTGGTAATTTAGTATAGCAACAACAGGAACTACTACAGTGTTGATCCTGAAAAACCTATGTATATTACTTATATATATTAATAACTTCCCTGATATGTCTTGAAAAGTGGTAGTGACCTTCCACTCCATGATCAATCAAGTCGTGCTTTATAATGAACCATTTGGTGACACCTACTTTTGTAACTATGTGGAACAATGAACTCTATGATCTGAACGTCATTAAAATAACTGAAACAACTCAGACACTAGCGTACACTCAGTCAAGTCCTCAAAGGGAATTATAGTCTGCTATAGTTGATGAGCAGATCAGGATAATGCAGACAAGTTAAGGACTTTCCCAAAACAGAGTCCTCTTAAGGTTCCAGATGTACAGTAAACTAAAACATACAGAACTGACTGAATGAAGCCTTGAGCCTCATCAGACCTCAAGAGCATCTCTAGCAGAGATACTAGCTCTCTGGCATCTAACCGAAAGACCGTGGAATGTGTTAACCAAGCAGGCTGCTAGGAACAGCAGGCTCCTTTCACTGGTATAAGGTATCTGTCTTGTGCCAGTGTGGTTGTCTAACTTACAAATATTTTTTTCTATAAAAATTCTACACCATTGAAATGTTATAAAAACAAAAATAGAATAATTAATTTGGAAGTAGTTCTATAATTTATGGGAAGAAATAATATGCAAATAATTGGTATTATTATTATCTGAAAGCTACGAAATCAGAAAACTAGTAAAAATCAATATTTATTATAAATATTTACAAAGAGTATAAATTACATGTTTACATTGATTGTAGGCTTTCTCCCTTTGCTTAAATAACCCACACTAATATTCTATAATTTGTTTTTAAATTATTGGAAAATAAGAAAAATACCTTTGAAGTCTTCCAGAGTCCTTAAGAACTTTTAACCTCTCAATATCCATCCATAGCCACCAATATCTTTCTCCTAAGGTACCTTTTAAAAATTTCTTAAATCTTTCAAACTCCTTTCTAGTGCCAATTTCATACATTCTATGAGAAATACGCCAGTCAGGCCTGCTCTGGGGTCCAGTGCTGTCACTCTTTGAAATTGTTTCTTCAAAGGTCTCGTCTGACCCTTCCTTTGCCTTCTCGGGGAAAGATTCCAGAGTATCATCAAATGACACTCGTGTGATATTGCTGAAGTTTATATAGCCTGGGTAGTCTACAAATGGCTCTCTCTCCATATGACTCTCTCCAGTCATTTTTTGAATTGCTGAGGACAAAATAAAGTGTATGTAGGAGTTTAAAAAGTCTTCACATGTTGAGAAATGGAGGCTTTCACCATCCTTGAACTTCTCAATGTATATTCTCAGAAGAGCTTGAGAAGGAGTGTCTTGTAAAGATACAGAACCTTCCTCTTCTTCGTCGTCTTCTTCTTCTTCAAATTCAGAAATTAATTTAGTTTTAGATGGCCCCCTTTGTGTCCGGGGATGAACTCCATCACTAAAGATAGCACTCTCTGTATTAAATCATAAAAGGCTATTAGATTAGGTATGAATATAAAACTTTTTATTATTAAATAGATGTTATAGAGCCACGATGGCAAATGAGTTTATATCACACATAATCACTGCATGGGCCAGTGTCTTAAGAAGGATTCTGAAGCCAGAAAAAAATTGCCATCAGGGATCAATCTTGTATTCATTCCCTGGACATGGAAGGGGAGAATGGTAGCAGATGAGCTAAATATTTGACATTCCTAACACAAAGGATATTCAAGAAGACCATTATATACTTTTAAAATGTGATATTTCAGACTGATACAGAATGTCAATACATAAGGACGAACTCTATTAAGGGATTAAATGACTATGTGTGCTTTGATATTTCATGTTGTATGATAAAGGAAAATTATCTAGCATAGATGGTGAAATCATAGATGAACTGACCCAAACTGGAGTCAACATCAGCAATTTTTAAAAATTCACTATTTCATCAGAAAGATTCAGTTTCCATCATACTCAACAGCCTTTCATTAAAGTTACCAAATGGTATAAGGTATGTAGGAAGGCTTATAACGAATTATTTTTATACTTTTACTGAAGAGATAATATTTACCTCCTCTTTTCTCTTTCTTTCAAAAATCCGTGAACTAGCTGAAATCTCTGATGTTAGTACTTTATTCCACATGGTAAATTTACCCCTTGAATGGTCACAGACCAAGTGACTGTTGTAACCTGTGCCCTCCCTCAATTACTATTTCCTCAGTTACCAGATTTCAAGTCTCAGTGAACTGGACACATTTAATTACAAAGTTTATTGAAGGTAACTATACCAAATTTCCCAAATGATAAGAGATAAGACTTTGTGAACCTGTGAACGGATACTGGCCACAGGCTCAGTCCCCTGGAATTGAAGGCAGGCAGTGACAGAGGGTGACGTTTCTGCTCTCCTCCCTCCTGCCATCCTTCTTCCTGTTTACTGTCTTTACTCTTTAATTTTCTACTTTCATATTTTGGGAGAACAGCAAGAAACCTATAAATCCAGCTATGTTCCATTACGAAGATTCTTTTCCTCTTTACCTAGAGTTACATTCAATTCCAGAGAATCCAGATTTAACGTTCTCAGAGGTCATTTATACTTTCAAAGGAATCAGTTAAAAACCGGTCGTGAATGCTTGAGTCCCTCTCCCGGATGTTTTTTTTTTTGGCAGCAATATCATAATGTCTCCTATTTCTGAAAGGGACGTTCTATTTTTATGAGAACTTTGTATCACACACAAAAGCTTCTCACAGTAGAAATTTATCTGCTTTTGAAGGTGAAAAATAATCTGAACTTCAAAACAAAAAGGAAACTCCAGGAGAGAGAAATGTTGTACCAACTGACTGCAAAGGCTTAGTAAGAATTTGTGAAGTGTGACAGGAAGTAATGACAAGACACACATTTATGGTCAGCATATTAGGGACTATGCACCAGGCCGGGCATCTTCTATACATTTACTAAGTTTCATTATTCTAAACTTACAGATAAGAAAAGCACACCTCCCAGAAGTGGAATAACGCATCAAAGTTACACAGCTAATAACTAAAACATGGATTTCTAAACCCACCCTCTTTGTTCCAGCAGAAACCGAGTGGGGGGAGGGGTGGTGGATAACTTTTTTCTCCCCAACCACTAAGTGCTCTAAGATTAGAACAAATAAACAAAAATTTAAAGAGGAGTTCTGAAGTCATTCTTGTCCTTGCCTGCTTACCAGAAACAGATGAAAGAACCGGTGATTCGATTCTGCTGTGTGGTGTACAGCTAGGTGATGAAAAGGTTGATACTGTTTGCTGACTTTTTTTTGCTAATGAAAACCAATCTTTTGTCTGAGTGTAGGAGGCCTAGGAAGGAGCATATTTGTTTAACATAAGATTAGTAGTATTCCTTCCATCACAAACCTGTACAAATTAGTATAATAACATTCAATTTGTATAGTATAATATGTAAAGGAAAAATGATCCCATTAAAGAAAAGAAAATTGTGCTCAGAAAAATTCATTAGCTAAGACAGTGGTTCTCAACCTATGGGACCCCCTTTTTAACAATGAAAATGCATCGCAGCATTAGGAAGGTTGAGAACCACTGAGCTAAGAGAATAATGAGAAGGAAATTTCTCTCCAGATATCATTGTTAGTAGATAACCAAAGGAAAAAACTAAGCCAAATACTCATCAATTTCTCTACTCTCTCACTCTCAGGCTATTACTGACCAAAGCAAAACTCTATAAATTCACTACTTCTTGGTAGTCACCACAGCACATCAATCCTTTGGTGCATCTTTGGCTAGCTGCTCACGTTTATGTCTTACCCAATTATTTCATGTCCCCAATTGTGTCTGGCCCGGATCCATGTTTCTGTTTGTTCGTTTGGGGGGAAGGGAGTTATTTTTGTTTTTAACAGAGTCTCACTCTGTTGCCCTGTCTAGAGTACCATGGCATCAGACTAGCTCGCAGCAACCTCAAACTCCTTGGCTCAAGTGATCCTCCTGCCTCAACCTCCTGAGTACCTGGGACTACAGGTGCCAGCTACAATGCCCAGTTAATTGGGTCTCGCTCTTCTTCAAGCTGGTTTTGAGCCTCTGAGCTCATGTAATCCTCTCGCCTCAGCCTCCAGGAGTGCTAGGATTACAGGTGTGAACCACCAAGCCTGGATCAATGCTTTTAACAACTCCTCCCCCATCATGGCAGAGACTCTACTCTTAGTACCACTGGAAAACTCTCTGAGCTCAGCCAACTCTTTGCCACAGATTCAGTTTTCACAACTTTGCTTGGACTAGATGCTTGCTGCATACTGATTTCCTGATACTCTGTCTGCCCCTGGATGCAGCCCTCATTTTCTCTTTGCTTTGTGTACCCCTAAACCAGCCAACCTAATTCCTAGGCTGATCCTTAGCTTCTAGAACCCCATCTCCAGGAAGCTCCTATCTCTGCCTTCCTGGGAAAATTCCTCTGCCTGCCTCTTTCAATGATATCTTCTCCTATTTTTCCTAGAAAATCCAAGTGTTCAACAGAAGGAGAGAAAGGAGTGTCCAGCATTCCTTTCATTTTTCATTTCTTCTTTTTCCAACTGAGTCAGCTGGCTGGTTGGCATTTAGCTTAAGGAACATTCGAGAAGAGGAGGCCTAAATGAAAGAGACTATTACTTCCTATCTATTATGCAGAATTAACAGACCAAGTCAAGCCACATAATGAGATCAAAGTGAGAGAGAGGGGTGGCATCCGAATAGTTGCTGTCCCTCTCACTAGGTAAGGTTTCCTAGGTGCATAAAAGCTTTAAAAGACTAATTTACTTTTGTTTCCTCATTCCTTCAAAACTAAGTTATTTGTTATTAATTATATGTTTATTCAACATACAGTTAAGTGACTACTTTATTCCAAGCAATAGACTAAGCACTGACAAGAGGCCAAAATAATGAAAGAACATTCAGGGAATTGAGAGAGGCCAATACACTAGTGTCCTTGCTATTTCAAATTCACAAAAAGGATGAGAGAAAGAACAAGATAGAAAGAAGCCACCAGTCAGACATAAAAGTAGCTAATTATGTCCCTTTATACTTTTTTTTTTTTTTTTTGCCAAGGCTGGGTTTGAACCTGCTACCTCCAGTACACAGGGCTGGTGCCCTACTCCTTTGAGCTACAGGTGCTGCCCCCCCTTTATACTTTTAAGAGATGGGTCAATTAGTTTTTAGATGGTATAATTGAAGACTCAAAGAAATATTACCAATTATTATAAAGATTAGTTCCTATCTATAATCATGGCTTAAATAACTTAAGGGCCCAAAGAACTTTGGATCCTCAAAACTCAAAAGGGTATTGAAAAATGATATAGTTAAATAATTGAGTAAGCAGAAATGAGTTCTTTCATACCCCCAAATAGCAAAAGTAAACTAGCTTAGATTTTTACTCCCTTACATTTGATTAAATTCACATGTAAGAAATTAGAAAGTATTCCCTTGGATTATTTTTCCATTTCTGTGTTTATTGGTCTCAACTATCAATGCATATTTTTATTTTTATGACATTCCTGACATTAAGGGTAAAAAATACTTTAAAATAAGTTTAAGAGAAAAAAAACATCTCTTTAGTATATCACTAAGTATTTAGTGGAAATAATAGAACTGGCATAATTTTAAACATTTTTACAAATTTTCCTGATAGAAATGAAAAACTACAAAATTAAGAGGAGCCATACCTGAAAAAAAAGTTCAAGTAACATAAGGGAAGTCCATCCATCTCAACACAAATGGCAGAGCGGCTTCCTCACATGTGACACCTCAGATTAATCAGAAGTGCCCACCCAGAATACTGTATTGAAAAGAATTTGGGGCTAAGTCCTAGCTTCGCAGAAAAATTTCTAAAATTGATTAACAATGTCAGTTGTGGATGGAGATTCTGAGAGTATCACTTGCATGGCAACATACTTGCCATTCCTGATTTTTACAAAAGTGTGCTTCCAGAGATAAGATTTGATAATTAGAGGCCAAAGATCAAACAACAGTTTTCACTACACTGTGACTCAAGGACACTTGATTCTAGGTTGTATGTCTTCAAATGCACTCCGAGAATCCCATGTTTCTCTAATCATGAAGGACAAATTTATCTGATAGCAGTTAAATAGTAATGCATTTTACTACTAAGGAATAATCTAGACAATAGGAAGGAAATGACTCTATCATCTTTTTTACAAAAGTAACAGAATTCAAATAATAAAAATCCTGGAATGAACAATGAAACCGTGGACATAATTCAAGATACCATTGATTCCCAGGTGGCACAGCATGTTAATCTGTGTCTTTGCTATTTTAGACACATGGGCTATTTCTAATTACATTTCAGGTAAAAGAGTACAGAGCAAATGTGTCGACATAAATCCACAAGAGTTACTGCTAGATCAGTTTTAGAAGTATGTAGAATCATTTTCCCTTTCTATGTGGTACAAATGAAATTCAAACCCCTAAGATGAGAAATTTCATTGAAGTAACAAATCATAAAAAAAAAAAACACTCATACTTTTACCTCGCCAAGAGAAATGTAGAACTTTTTCATAATTAGAAGATTATCTTCTTCAGTGGGGGGAGGTAGTGAACTGCGTGGTTTTTTCAGGACCCAAGGAGAAAAACTTGTACCTAGTGTGAAACTCATACCTGACTTGCTCCATCGTGCTTGTGAGACCAATTTGGCTAACCTGTATTAGAAATCATACAATTTGAAATAAGTTTCAAATATGGCAGAATTCAGGAAAAAAAAACACTAAAATCTTATTTTATGTATTCAAGTCCATTTCCTCCCCCCAGCTCTGCAGGATGATTCTCTTAGGCTTATTCACAAAACTACTCATTAGTTGATAATTATTCTGTTTTTATCTACTTTAACTTAAAAATGGTTATTCTGAAGAAAGGTCAAATTGTAGGTACTTACACTTTAAAAGTCAAGGAACAGAAAGAAAAATCTTGGCTCTGCATTATGGTATATTATCTTTTTCATGTCACATTAATCCTCATTTTTAAATTCCCTGAACGTAAGTACCATCGCCACCAACGAACAATTTAAAATATATAATGACCAGCTCAGTGCCCATAGCTCAGTGTCAACACATATACCAAAAGCAGGCAGGTTCGAACCCAGCCCAGGCCTGCTAAACAACAATGACGACAACAACAACAAAAAATAGCCAGCATTGTGGTGGGTCCCTATAGTCCCAGCTACTTGGGAGGCTGAGCCAAGAAAATCACTTAAGCCCAAGAGTTGGAGGTTGCTGTAAGCTGTGACCACAGCACTCTACTTAGGAAGACGTAGTGAGACTGTCTCAAAAAAAAAAAAAAAAATGATAATACAGGGTGACATAATGGACATTATAGACTCAAAAAGGGGAGGGTGGAAGTGAGATGAAAGCTGGAAAATTACCTATTGGGTACGATGTACACTGAAATCCCAGCTTTCACCACTGTACAATTGATTCATGAAACAAAAATCCATTTGTACTCCCTAAATCTATTGAAATAAAAAAAATTTTAGGAATAAAACAAAATAAAAATATAATGGCCAAGGAAATACAACCGAAGTACATTAATAAATGTAAATGTAAAATTTCTGCAGACAAGTTAAGTGACTTTTATCAATATTCTATCACTATTATTCTATAGCAGATGAGATCTAAACTCCAATGGGTTAAAAGGTATGTATATAATTTTACTAAGATTTCACAGAAAAATAAATTTTGGTGGAAAAAATAGGCATTTAGAAATGCGTATATATTTGTGGAACTGAAATACCTGTATTCAAAGTAGCAATCACTTTCCAGAAATGCTGGAAGTCTTTCTTTTTTGATCCATTTAATACCTTCTTCACGACTGAGACACTATTGGAAAAAAGCAAAAAGAAGAAAAAATGTTAAAATCACTTTTAGACCAATTAAGCCCTAACCATGAGAGGAAAAATGACCTCTAGCAATCACTAGGAGCCCTACTCCCACACCTTCTATTAGCACAAAAGAGATCAATAATTCCGCGCCACAAAAGTATGGCTGCTTCTTGCATCTGGTACCTCTTTAATTCTCTCAACAACTCCATGTCAACTATTATCTCCGTTTTTACAGATTCACAAATTAAATCCAAAAAAGTTAAGTAACTTATTGACAGAGGAGGTTTGAGAAAAAAATCAATTGAGCTCAGTATTTTCAGTTGTAAAATGGGCTAAAAATAATCACACACACACACACACACAAACCAAAAAAAATCACCAACAGGAAAAGAATCACTAAGAAAAACTTAGTAAGGCCACTAAAGTCATTACAGGTCCCTTGGGGTTTTTTTGGTTTTGAGACGGAATCTCACTATGTCACTCTTGGTAGAGTGCTGTGGCATCACAGCTCTCAGCAACCGCAAACTCTTGGGCTTACGTGATTCTCTTGCCTCAGCCTCCCAAGTAGCTGGGACAAGCACCCATCACAACGCCTGGCTATTTTTTTGTTGTTGTTGCCATTGTTGTTTAGCAAGCCCTGGCCGGGTTCGAACCCACAGCCCCAGTGCATGTGGCCAGCACCCTAACCACTGAGCCACAGGTGCTGAGCCTACAGGTCCCTTGTTCCTCCAGTAAACAATTTTTTTTTTTTTTTGTCAAAGGTTTAACATCCCTAGGCACGCTCCTAGAGATGTCAGCGTTAACAATTATAGCAGAGTTACAAGGGCCATGGTACAGAGGCTTCTGTAGGACCCACACAGGCACTGAGCCCCGCAAAGGTTTTCTAGGGAACATGCCCTTCACTCCTTGACCTGAAGCAGGACTAGCTAGGCTGAGTAGGAGAGCAGGGGAGCAGAGGAGGAAACAAATAGTGAGTGTGGCAGTAGCATGATCTAGGTCACAGGATGAGATTTGAGGGATGGAGGGAGGAAGGTGGGAGAAGCAGGGCACTGGCCTGATGGTGAACAGTCTTTTAAATAGTATTAAGGATGTTAAATTTTATCTTGAGGTTGTGAAAATTGCTGAAGAGTTATTAAGTTGTTATTCATTCCAAAATATTCACTGACTATTGAGTCTATTTTTTCGTATATTCACTTTTTCAGAATTCTATGGAATGTCAGTACATAGACAGGACACAAATGAATTTCAGAATTCTATGGAATGCCAGGACACAAAACAAAAGCTACTGATAAATAAAACAACCAGTATAATACCCATCTCAGTGAGGTCAGTGTGTCTGCATGTATGAGGCTTCCATGGACTATCTGGCAAAACAATAGTTTTGCTATGAGATCAGCATCAGCGTCAACATGCAGCCCATCACTAACTCCCTGAGGAAACTGAGTGCCCACACAGTAGTGCCAACGTCTGGTGAGCTGACAGTCGTGAGGGTGCACGTGTGCGCGGCATTCCTGATGCACAGCACCAAATCATTAAGCTCCCAGGATTGGAAAAATGGGCACACAATGGTTTTCTCCTGGTCATCACAAAACATCCATTTGGCCACTGTCTTCTTGGAAATGAAAGAACAAAGAGAAGTATTAAAACAGCCAAACCGAATCAGGGGCAGCTTGTTTTCTGTCTCATTGCTTATTGGTGAGCTGTGAAGTTAAAAGGATTCCACAGACGTTACATGCTGACAACCACACAGGACTGGGGACTTCTCACGAGCACCGCATCCTGCTCCAGACTGTAATATGGCCCAGACTACTACACAGTTCATCCAAAGTCAGTTTGCCTAGTATTTGTCTAATGGAGTTTCTCTATACTTCATTCTCTTTTAAGTGTTTTTTTGAAAAATAGTCTTTATCCAAACCAAAAAAAAAGATCCTGTCAAGGTTTTTTTTTTTTTTTTAAGTCAGAGACTCACTCAATCACCCTGGGGTTGAGTGCCCTGGCATCATAGCTCACAGCAACCAATCTCTTGGGCTCAAAAGAGTCTCTTGCCTCAGTCTCCTGAGTAGTTGGGACTACAGGCACCCGCCACAATGCCCAGCTTTTTATTTTAGAAACAGGGTCTCGCTCTTGCTCAGGCTGGTCTCCAACTCCTGAACTCAATCCACCTGCCTCAGCCTCCCAGAGTGCTAGAGTTACAGGCATGAGTCACTGTGCCTAGCCCACAAGGTTTTTTAAAGTATATATAAAGACCAAAAACATACAGAACAATCCTGATCAACCCAAAATAATTTAGTAAGTAATATAAGAAACACAAAAATAGCACCTATGATCCTAACACTTTAGGAGGCCAAGGCAGGTGGATTACCTGAGCTCAGGAGTTGGAAACCAGCCTGAGCCAGAACGAGACCCTATCTCTAAAAAACAAAAAGTAGCCAGGTGTTGTGCTGGAAGGCGGTAGTCCCAGCACAAGAAGGAAGGAAGGAAGGAAGGAAGGAAGGAAGGAAGGAAGGAGGGAAGGAGGGAAGGAGGGAAGGAGGGAAGGAGGGAAGGAGGGAAGGAGGGAAGGAGGGAAGGAGGGAAGGAGGGAAGGAGGGAAGGAGGGAAGGAAGGGAGGGAGGGAGGGAGGAAATATAAAAATAATTTACCTAAAAAACTTAAACTTTTTTTTAAAAGTTGGATGAGAAAGAAAAAAGAGATAATCAAAGATTGGAGGAAACTGATTTTAGATAAATCATTCTAGAACTACCAAGTAGACAGCCTGTCTAAATGCCTATAGGATCAGATTAACAAAAATTATATTTAGATGTACAAGGAAACCAAATAAAGTATGGTTATCAGCCAATAGATATTTTTGTATAGTCAGATTGATTGAGGTATAAACTACATTCAGTGAAATCCATCCTTCTTGGCATATAGTTCTACAGGTTTTCACAAATGCACGCAATCATGTAACAGGAATACATAGTATAATCAATATACATAGTAGTTCCAACACTGCCCCCAAATTTCTCATGCCACTTTGTGACAGCACTTTCCTCCAACCCCAGACCCTGGCGATGCCACTGATCTGTTCTCTAGATTTGCCTTTTCCAGAATGTTACATAAATGGAATCAATATAGTAAGGAAACTGATTCTGGTGTCTTTCACTGGGCATAAAGCATTTGAGGTTGATCTGAGTTCTTCTGTGTATCACTAGTGCATTCCTCTTCATTGCTAAGTACTAGTCTACTGTATGGATATATAGACTGAGTTTATCTATTTCCCAGTTAATGGAATTTGGATAACTTCCAGCATTTGTAGTTATGAATAAAGCAATTATAGTCACTCACATACAGGTGTTTAGGTGAATATAACTTCACATTTCTTTCAGGTAATAAACATGAATAGGACAGATGGATAGTATTATATGTTTAACTTAGAAAGAATCACCAAACTGGTTTCCAAAAGTTGGAAGTTGCTCTGCATTTGACTGAATTTCCCTTATGATTAAAGATACTGAGCACATTTTCACATGCTGATTACACTCATTTGCATTTCTTCTTTGGAGAAATGTCTTTCTAGATCCCCTCTACATTTTAAAAATTGGGTTGCCTATTATTAAGCTGTATGAGTTCTTTATATCATTTAGACATGCATCCTTATCAAATGAATGACTTGCCAATATTTTCTTCCACTCTGTGGGTATCTTTTTACATTCTTGGTATTATCATTTGGAGCATAAAAGATTTACATTTTATCTATTTTTTTCTTCTTTTGCTTGTGCTTTGGGTGTTTTATCTAAAAAACACCTCATCCAAAGTTATGAAAATGTATGCCTTTTATCTTTTAAAACAGGATAGAAGTTTTGCACTATTGGATTCAATATACTTACTTTTTGAGAATTTTTGCATCTGTTGTCATCAGAGATATTTATAGGGTTTTCCTTTTCTTGAAATTTCTTTATTGTTATCAGGGTAATGCTAGCTTCCTAAAATAAGCTGGAAATTAATCCCTCTTCTTTTGTTTTTTAGAGAAGTTTTCATAAATTTGGGAAGATTTTAAACTATCAATCCAATTTCTTTAATAGGTATAGGATTATTCAGATTATCTACATCCCCTTGAGTGAGCATGTTTTAAGGAATATGCTCATTCCATTTAGTTTATTGAGTTTGCAGACATAAAATAGCTTGTAATATTCACTTATTTTTTATTGGACATCCATAGGATCTGTAACGATATCCCGTCTTTCATTTCTGATATTAGTCATTTATTTCTTCTCTTTTTCTTCATCAGTAAAGCTAGAAGCTTATCAATTTTATTGATTTTTTTCCAAAGAAAAAATAATAAGCAAGCCTTTATTTTCATTGCTGTTTCCCACTTGTTTTATATTTTCAAAAATTTCATAGCTTCTGTTCTTTATTTCTTTACTTTTGATTTAATCTAGCTTTACTTTCCTAGCTTACTATAGTGAAAAGCAAATCATAGGCTTGAGATATTTAGTCTTTTCTAATATAAGCACTTAATGCTATAAATTTCTCTTTAAGAACTAAATTAGCTGCATCCCACAAATTTTGGTATTACATTTTAATTTTTATTAAATTCAACATAATTTTTAATTTCCCTTGAGACTTAACTCTTTGACCTAGGATTACTTAGAAATGTATTGTTTAAGATTACTCAGTCGATCTTTTTGATTTCTATTTACTAAAGAAAGTGAATAAACAAATAAATATCACTATCATACCTAGTAAGAATGTTTTTAATTAAAATTTTATAGTGCTATATAGTTCAGAATATTTTTCCTTTGGGCTTCAAGGCAATGCTGTAACATAGTTGATATTAACATTTAATTTTATGAAAGTTAACAAGAAAGATAGAAAATACATTTGAAGAATTGACGAGGCTGATGTAGATCTGTGTCTTATGTATTAGACATATTTTAGCCTATTTCTATCAGATATTTTAAATCAATGGAAAATAGAATTGGTAAATATTCATTATTATTTTCATTTGATCCACAAAATAAGCCTGAGTAGTAGATATTAAAGGCATCATTTGATGGATGATGAAATGAAGTTTATCAAAGTGACTTGTTCAAGGACAAGTTGAAGAGCCAATATTAGAACCCACGTGTTCTAGCCTCATGCTAAGGAGATAAAATCTAAAAGCTAAGAATAGACTTTTTTTTCTTTTTGAGACAGAGTCTCACTTTGTTGTCCTGGGTAGAGTGCTGTGACATCATAGCTCACAGCAATCTTAAACTCTTGGGCTCAAGTGATTCTCTTGCCTCAGCCTCTTGAGTAGCTGTGACTACAGGTGTCTGCCACAACATCTGGCTACTTTTAGAGACAAGGTCTTACTCTGGCTCCAGCTGATCTTGAACTTGTGAGCTCAGGCAATCCACCTGCCTCAGCCTCCTAGAATGCTAGGGTTACAGTCATGAGCCATCGCACCTGGCCCCTAAGATTAGAATTTAAGGCCAAGGAAATCAAAGGCATATAGTAAACTTTTGGGTCAAAAGTCTCAAATAGATGGAATACTATTCAGCCATAAAAAGAGGGAGACTTTTTAATCTTTTGTATTAACCTGGATGGCATTGAAACACATTATTCTTAGTAAAGTGCAAGAATGGAAAAGCAAGCATCCAATATACTCAATACTAATATGAAGCCAGTAGGTGATCTAATACACGCCCACAGTTGTGAGGAGGGGGGAAAGGGAGCAAAAAGGAATGGTGAGCTCCCAGTTAATGGGAACAATGTAAGGGTGTATGGATGATCAGATACATGCCCACAGTTGTGGGGAGGGGGAAAAGGGAGGGAAGGGGGATGGTGTGCTCCCAGTTAATGGGCACAAGTAAGGGTGTATGGCACACCTCCTGGGTGTGGGACACACTACAATAGGGACTCCACTTAACAAATGCAAACACTGTCACCTAATTGTACCCTTATGATCAATCTGGGGGGGGGGGGAAGTCCCAACTGCTTGATGGGATTGATTTAAAATCCAAATAAAATAACTCCTCTGTTTACCCACAAATTTTTTAGAATCTATCTACACTATAAAACAAATGACACATATATTTATATGGCCCCCAAATAACCTAATATTCACAATAAATTAAATGAATCTTCTCAGACTTATAATAGAACATCAACAAAACTGGCAGACTAAACTGGCCATTAGATTTGAGAAGATGATACGAGGCTTAACAAATATTATGTGTAGGCCGGGCATAGGGGCTCATGCCTGTAATCTTAGCACTTTGGGAGGCCAAGGTGGGAGGATCACTTGAGGCCAGAGGTTTGAGACCAGCTTGAGCAAACACAATGAGACTCTGTCACTACAAAAAAAAAAAAAAAATGTTATTTTTAATTAGTCAGACATGGGGCATAAGCCTGCAGTTTCATCTACTCAAAAGGATAAAGCAGGATGATCATTTGAGCCCAGGAATTTGAGGTTGTACTGAGCTATGATGCTATTGCACTTTAGCCCAGGCAACAGAGCAAGACTCTATCTCAAAATATATATATATGTGTGTGTGTGTGTGTGTGTGTGTGTGCGTGTATACATATATAATATATATTTTTTAAAACCTGTATATATAAACAGTAACAAAAACAACAAAAAATACTATGCATAAGTACAACACAATTTAATTAATACAGCAACATTTTGGAAAGGAAGCGTAAGGAAACTCATGATAATTTCACCAAGTGCTTTCTAACCCTAAAGAGATCTACATATAAGTATACTTTCTTACCATAATACTGTAGTTGACATTGATGGTCTCACCTTCACCGGGGACATTCACTTCACCAGGTTTAACGTCATGCTTTTCTCTCCTTACAACATCATAGATAGGATTTCGAGGTTGCTGGTTTTGTAGAATTTTTTTCAGTTGCTTTTCCAGAAGTTGTGGAGCATTATTAATTACTTCAAAAACGCCATAATCTACATTAAATCTAATTGCCTCTGAAAAGGTCTGTAAAATGAATGAATGGAAATGAAAATTTTAACACAGAAAGGGTCTCTGAGACTTTATATTTACGTATGCACGTGTATACCTCACAGAGATTTGTGTTTCTACCATTTCCTCTTCCCTTTTAGGAGCTAGGAAACCTCTTTACTAGAACTAAGGGAATCCTCTGAACCCATTCTCGCCAGAGTACTTAGGCGACAAGTAAGTCTCAAGGTATGTTATAGGAGAAATTTCCTTCATATAACCTCCATGATTCTTTGAAACTGGAAAGAGACACACACCTGGTCTCTATGAAGCAATGTGACACTGTTAGAAAGGGGGATTACTAGGGAAGAAGGAAGGAAGGAAGAAGACATATTCTCCTGCTATATCTTCCGTGCCGAGGAGTCATGAAATCTAACAATCTCCCTTGCCCCAAAGGAGAAAACTAAGTGCAATGTGTTCCTCATTTAAGACAATTTCAACACCATTCCTCACACTGTGACAAAAAATTTTAGACAAAGAGTAAAAGAGAATAACATTTATAAGCTTTTGTCATTAATTCTAAATCCTGCCAACTTTTATTTAAAGCCAGCCAGTTGATGTACAACAGGTCAGGAGTCTCGAGTTGGAATGCCAGCTTACGAATGAATAGCTCTGTGACTCTCAGTAAATCATTCAGCATCTCTGGGGCTTCCATCTCCTTAAGAAGTGAGTGGTAGACAGGCCATGCCTTGGCTCATTTGCCCTCCAAATCTAAAATCAAGCCCCTTTTTCAGAATATTCACTTATTTTAGTCACCTTCAGTGAACTGATTATTCGTGTAGATTAATTTATACATGTTTAGCCAGGTGATAGAAGACATTAAATTCTTCCCCTTGGAAGCATTTCACATTGTATATCAAATCAGTACGCTGAATCCCATAAATGCATCAATGTACACAGTTATGATTTAATAAATAAATAAATAATAAAAATAAATAAATTCTTCCCCTTGGGTCAATAAGTGTTCTAAGTAGAAATTAATTCTTCCAAGTTTTACTAAGGGATTTTTAGATGTACTACAGTTATAATTTAATAAATGATAGAATTTCATAGTAAAATTAGACCTAGAAATATGTGCATACATGTATATATATATATACGTATTTTTTTGGGGGGGAGACCAAGCCTCAAGCTGTCACCCTGGGTAGAGTGCTATGGTATCACAGCTCACAGCAACCTCCAACTCCTGGGCTCAAGCGAGTCTCCTGCCTCAGCCTCCCAAGTAGCTGGGACCACAGGTGCCCACCACAACACCTGGCTATTTCTTTGGTTGTAGTCGTCATCGTTGTTTGGCAGGCCTGGGCTGGATTCGAATCTGCCACCTTAGGTGTATGTGGCTGGTGCCTTAGCCACTTGAGCCACAGGCACCGAGCTTATATTTTTTATTTTAATGTCAGTATCACATCTCTAAAGTGTGACTGTTGACTATCTCCACTTCTAAGTAACTTAAAGTATATGGACAATAGAGTTCAAGATGAACATTGGGTCTAAGCGTGGTGGCTCACACCTATAATCCCAGTACTCTACAAGGCCAAGGCAGGTAGATCCCTTGTGCTCAGAAGTTTGAGACCATCCTGATCCAGAGTGGGACCCCATCTCTAGCAAAAATAGAAAAACTAGCTGGGCATGGTGGCACACACCTGTAGTCCCAGCTACTCTGGAGACAGAGGCAAGAGCATCACTTAAGTCTAAGAGTTTGAGGTTACTGTGAGCTATGACAGCATGGCACTCCAGTCTGGGTGACAAAGTAAGACTCTGTCTCAAAAAAAGATAAATATCAGTCCATCGTCAAAAAGCCTTACATCTAAGATTTTTACCCAAAGTGAACAGTATATAGCTCAATGAATAAATGAGAATAATTAACAATAAATTATGTATAAAGTGTTTTTCATAAATATATTTCCACTGCATCTGTCTTCAAACATGGAATTCAAACAAGCACCACTTACCTAAACATCATAAATATTATCCCTGAACACTATTCACTGGATTAATGAAATAAAAGAATCTGCTGACATCAGAGAATATTTGTATCTGATTAAAGAAAGGAAAGGAATTAAATGGATATCAAACATTAATGGGGGTGGAGGAAATGAAGCAGTATAATGTGAAAAGATTTTTTCCATCAATGGAGCAAGAGAACAAGTTTGATCTTTATTTATTGTTTTCCTTTCTTTTTCCAGCCTCCTACCCTCTCACCTAGTAGTCAGAGGAATAAAAAGCTGTGAAAATCCAAAGCAAAGAATGACAACTAATTAACTCAATGGATAAAGAATATATTTCTGCACAGGGTGCAGTGATGTGTACCTGTAGTCCCAGCTACTCAGGAGGCTGAGTAGGAGGATTGCTTGGAACCAAGAGTTTGGATACAGCCTGGGCAACATAGCAAGATCCTGTCTCTAAAAACAAAAAAGAAGGAAGAAAGAAAGATGAGAGAAAGAAGGAAGGAAGGATAGAAGGAAGAGAGGGAGGGAGGGAAGGAATATATTTCCTACTAACCAAGAAAAAAACTGCTTAATTAAAAAAAGTTGAGAGGGATTGTTGACACTCTAAGACCTTGGTAACCAATCTTAGTATATAGGTATATTTGGCAGAAACATTCGGGGTGATAAGAATTCCATTTCCTGAACAGCTATCATGTGGTAGGCCTGTGATAGACACTTAAATGCACTCTGTTGAATCGTTCACATTTCTGAAATAGCTCTTTATAGAAACTGATGTTCGGGATGGTTATGTGACAGCCCGTAGACTCAGAGCTATAAAGTGGTGGGTCAGGAACAAGTCTGTCAGACTGCTGTTCGGAGACTCGTCCTATAGAGAGAACATTTCCCCTTCTTTACTGGATTGCCCCAGACATGATAAAACCAGCATGCACTTAGACCACTTTCTCTATGCCAAGCGCTTTGCTGAGTAATGACCTAATGACAGTGGTTCTCAACCTTCCTAATGCTGCCACCCTTTAATACCCACAGGTTGAGAACCACTGCCCTATGAAGTTAGGGTAGCCAGGTGTTTTGATCCCAAAGGCTTGGCTCTTATGTACTCTGATTTAACCAGTAAGGGCACAGAGGCATGAAGCAACCTGTTACATGTGGGTAACTCTCAGCAGTTCAATGCAGTTGGACTACAACTAGACTAGCTGCAGTTGGAATAATGTAAGGAACAGAGAAGACTTGGAGTGGATAAGATAGAGAGAACCAGCTCATGGAAGGCTTTGCATGTCATTTTAAAAAGTATGGTTTTTAATCTTAATCCTCTGAGAAATAGGGAGACATGGCCAAGATCCTAAGCAGGTACGTAACTTCTGATTGGTGTTTTAGGAAGAGTCTCCTAGCAGGGTCTGTAGGACGGATTGCTTGCCTGCCAGCTCATGAGCTGTGAGGTAGACCGTACTGCTGACATCCCTCAAACAAAGCCATCACCACGCCTGCTTGGGGAAGGCGCTGTCTCACCACTACTGCTAGTACAGCCAGGGTTAGTGTAGTAATTATTAACTTTCTGGATGGAAGACTGTCCCTATCACACATGAGGGTCAGGCCAGGGTTTAAGGCAGAGAGTTAGAAATTACTTTTATAGTTAACAAGGTACAACTGCAGCTAAGAAAGATTAAATGGTCTCTTCGTGGCTTTCTAGCAAGTGCTCTAAGGAGCTTACAACAGAAACCTGGATTTATGACTATGAAACTGCTTAAACCTAGGATTGGCACATAATTTCAGTTAAGGCTTGCTGTACCTACTGTGGACTGGCTCACTCAGGATCCATTCCAACCTCCTGAAATGTGAAGCCTGGAAAACTCAAAACTGTCTTTCCCAGACACTCTAGGTTTTACGTGTAACTTAGGTTCTCCCACTCATATGTGACAAAAATACTTACATTCTGAATGGAGTTGGTGAGGAAAGAGGAAGAACATATCCTCCCTGAGGAAGAAAAGCTGAAGGACATAAGTCCATGAAAGAGAGGAGAGGACCTGTCAGAACGAAGAACTTTACAGCAAAAGGAAAATTGGAATTCGTTGTGCTTAGGATAAAATGACATGAAATGCTCCTGTTTATAAAGAGATGTAAATGTGTGCATGTTCAAATATTTATAAACTTTGGAATTTCTCTCTGTGACACCAATTGAACCGGGGCAAAGATCTGGCCAGAGGTAAATAAGTATTTTCCTATTTAGAAAGCCATGTTAGCTTAGATCTTCAAAGTTCCTTAATAGCACTGCGATTCTAAGATAAAATAGGGGGCAGATAACTGACTCAAAGCTTTTCCCAGTTAATTCATCTCAATAGTAGCAAAATACGGGAATGCCCAAGTGTCAAGTATTGCCACATTCGTAGAAGATACAAAAATGAATAAAAAACTACGTCTGCTCTTGTTGAAGGAACAAGTACATAATCACTTATTTTTCTCTATGAGGAAAAGAATCAACAAAATACTGAAAATAAATTAAAATTAGTGTAAATGCCGGAGGTGGCAGGTTCAAACCTAGCCCTGGCTAAAAATTGCAAAAAAAAAAAAAAAAAAATAGTATAAATGTAAATGCCAAAGGAGAAATATGTCCACAGAGACAAGGGTATTCTAGTATCACAATACTAGACTACTATGTCTGGTCTAGTTATCTTTACTTTAAAAGGGATTTGGCTAAACTGGAAACTATCCAGGGAAGGAGAAGCAGAATGATTAAATGCAAAAAATGTTGGGCAAATCATTTTGCTTTTCTGAGCCCTATCAGGTAAAAGGGGATTGTAACCACGTAATCCTAAGCTGTCTTCCATGTCTGATGCTCCATCAGTCAAGACTGTCTCTCCAAGAAAAGAGAGTCTACACCTTCTCCTCTCTAATAAGACCACCCAGCTCTCCTTCTCCTTTGTTAGTTCATTTGTTTATTCCTAAGTATCTAATCGCTTCTCGGCCTTGTGGCTAAGATCAAGCGCATAAGTATCTAATATGCTAAGTTAGTTCATTCATTTATTCGTAAGTATATAA